TTAGTCTAAATTTTGTTTTAAAATTATAAAATATGTACTCCATAGTTAAAAGTTTGAAAAACAAAACCTATAAGTATGAAAGAAATACTCCCCAAAGTCAAATAAAAAGTTAAATATAAATGAAGAGATTTTTCTTATAAAACTTTACACTGATTTTAAACTGAGGAATTTGAGGTTCGTCCAAACTTGTAGAGTATGATAGAGATAAATTCAATACAACCATTTACTATCGGGCGTCAATCGCCGGACTATGTTTTTAGTGTTATTAACTCAATTACAATATTGCATATGTACATATTTTTTCAGCCTAATAGCGCATAAAAACCGATACTTCTCTGTTTGTTGGGTCTCAAACTTGGGTGAACCTCCGCTTGAATATGTTAGTTACTGTATTTAGCTAATATAGTGGTGTAATGATATAAACAAGTATTTCAAAAAAAAATCTAGCTAGAACTAATTCAAAAATCTTAGCTACACTAATTTGCACAATTGACATAATGTGATATGGCCCGTTAATGTCTACATCTAATTAATTTTAATATACTTTCTAATTATTAATAATTTCTAATCAAGATCATAATCTTAAAAAACATAAGCTATTCATTTTCAATGTTTGGCCTAAAACACACTACTATACATCTTTTTCTTTATGTGTCCTCCATGGACATGAGATGGTCCCTTAGCTTAGCTTTAGCTTATGATAGTAAAGGTCCCCAACATCCACTCCCACCCCACTCTTCCTTATTTAGCACACCTAAATAGGACCCATTTTTTCTAATTTATTTTTCTTACTTATTACTTCCTCCGTCCTCAATTTGATTACAAATTGCGAGTTATGGAGTAAAATTTCATATTTTTTGAAATCATTTTATTTACAAATTGGTATATCAATAAGATACGGAGTATAAAAATTACATATTAAAAAACTACGTCAAAAGTTCTATGGAGGGAGTACTTATTAAAATTATATCAGATTAGATTAAATCTATTTTAGATTAAAATATTAAATCTATTTATTAAATCTATTTATTTATTAAAATAGATTTGATACAATAATAAATCTATCTTAGATCTTATTCATTTAGATACAAATAATAATAATAATTTATATTATTATTTATTACTATTATTGTTGTTGTTATTGGTATTATTAGTATTAGTATTATTGAAATAATAATAATAATAATAATAATTCATAATAATAATACTAATAATTAAAAATACTAGTAACAATAAACCATAATGATCATAATAGTCATAATAAATAAAAATAATAATTACTAGTAATTATTATTTTAATAAAAATATAATAGTAAAAAATTACTATTATAAAAAAATATTAGTAATAATATAAAATTTTATTATTAAAATAATATTTATCATTTTAATAATAATAATAATTTAATTTTACATTAGACATATTTAGACCAAGTCATATCCAATCAAAACAATTCAAATCATATCAAAACCATTTATAGATCAGATCATATCAAAGTTATTCATAGAGAGTGTTTGTGAGTGCGGTGAGTATTGAAAAAAGCCCATGTGAGCAATCAGAAGTAGAAAACAATTACTTTGAGTTTTGGTGAGAATCACTTCTAGAACACACTTTATACTTCTGAAATCACAACCTATAATTTAAAGCTAATTGAAAAACATTTAAAATTGTGTTTCGATGAAGTAGAAACTTAAAAGCTATTTTCAGGCATACTTTCAAACACCCTCATAACAAATTAACCCTAAAAACTCCAAATTAGGTTCTATAAAAAAATGAGATGGGAACCATTCATTTACATTTTAATAACTTAACATTTCATTATGAAATCAACACTAATATAAGAATTGGATCATTTTGAGACAACCACTTATTTTATGGAATTTAACACATTCATTCATAGAATACTTATATGTATCAATTATGAGCCAATAGAAGAAAGTGAGAAAATCAATGCTTCATATGTGGACTTTAAATTCATAATAATTATTACAAATGGTGAAGTAGAATATTTATTTATTTATTAATAAAATTCATACTATTATTATTATTACCTATTATATTTTAATATATGTTCAATTTTATTAAGTGAGCGAGGTTATATGATTCTTCGAAATTTGTTTACGGTTCTTTCCATCGTCAATTTTCTTGATCCGTTAGGGTTAGGATTAGGGTTAGGATTTTCCTCCCCTATATAAGAAGATATAGGTAACCTATTAGAATTATCATCAAGTAATAGAAATCATCTCCTATTCCTAAACCCTAATTTTCTCCTTCTCTCTAATTCTTTTGTTGTCTACACAGATCTAGTTCTTTTTTCTCTAATTCTTCTCTTCCTTTCCCAATTTCTTCTTGGAGCTTAAAAAGCTCAAATTTCTTTCATATTCAATACGATATTCATATGAATAACACGACTTTTAACAATAATAATAGTATTAATTATGATAGTATTTATTTATTAACCAGCTTCTATTAATGTGTAAATTTTACTCGTGGTAAGAATGCTCCTTATATATATCATTCTTTTTTAAGTTAATATATTATTCCTTTATTCAAAAAAATTACCGAGTATGATTTTGAGTAGTACAGTACTAAAATATACGTAATATTTAAAAAGAGGATTATGCTATGTGTACCCCAAGATTTGTACCCCGCAGTTTTGCACCAACATTTGTGTCCGTGTGAATTTTTATTAACGCACCAACACATGTGTCGGTGTAAACCATCGAAATGTTTGTGTAAACATGTGGTGTACAAATGGGGTATATTTGTTGGTGTAAGTGTAGCATGGTCCTTAAAAAGAATCAAAAGTGGACACTTTAATTTTGGGGGGCCCATGCCGTTACACGAGTCTGACGGCTCCGAGTACACAATGTATAAGCAAAGTGGAAAATGCTAAGGTGCCACCACATGGGTGCTACCATGGGTGCACGCATGCTTCGCACAGATAAACACAGACGATAATTGTGTCTGTGCGACATAGACAATTATCATCTGTGTTTATCTGTGCGAAGCATGAGTGCACCCATGGTAGCACCCATGTGATGACACCCTAGCATGGTCCAAGCAAAGAAGCCAAGACCTATATGTATACACATATGTAGTTCGATTTAGCACTTGCTCATTTGAGTTGAAATTCTAAAATTAGATATTGGAAGAAACTAGAAAGAGATCTTAGAGTTTTAATAATATGTTTAAGGGCTGTCAGATGTTACCCATCACGACAATTCTAAAGATGTCGTACAACAAAATGATTGAATTCTTTGCAAAACAACAAAAGATTTCTATTTATTGACAACAAAACAATTGAATTTTAGAGTTTTAATAATATCTTTAAAAGGATATACTCACTGCTCCAAAAATTAAAGTCATTTTTTGACACCGATAAAAAGTAAAGCACAAGTGGGTGGTTACTAACTACGGTAACAATCAATATGTTGTTAGTCACACTTCCGTTTTAATCACGTGTGGACAATGGACTACTGATGCAATCCCCTGTGTGCTTGTTCATGGTGTGTTTCATGCTTTTCAACAACTCGCAGACGATCTGGTTGCAGAAAAACACTCTGTTCAAAACTATCTGAGTTGTTAAAGCAGTATGATTGAACCGATGATTTTTCCCACCTAAATTATGATTTTTCTTTTGAAACCTTGCTTTCATAGGATTTAACTAGATTGTTGTTGTTATCCTCTAAATGATAGTTTTCAAAAATATTGTGAATAATGTTTCTTTTTTATAATCAATATTCGTTACCACACTTTATGAGGTCTATAAACCACCGAATATATTAAATTATATGAAGTTTAGAGAGAGAATGCAAAGTAGGAGTATATTCACTCAAAATTTGGATCCTTTACAATGAGGGGTCTCAGCCCTTTTATAGGGTACACAAAACAATTGGTCAAAGCCATTTGATCGAGGTTCGTCACTTAGCGGATGTCGCCTGTCCCTCCGTCTTGTCCCTTTCATTCTTTCGTTGTCCCCAGGTCCCTATCGCCGGTCGCTATCTTCTCGTCGCTATCATGCAGTCCGATCCGAGCCTGGGATGGCCGAGCCGAGCTCGTAGGCCGAGCGCGTGCATACCCGGCCGAACACAACGCTCTTCCCTGTGGGCGAGGGCCCCGCTGACGTCTGCCCTAGGCCGACGTGGGGTTATCCCCCGTCACTTTATATTTAAAAAAGGCAAAATTCATAAGAATACTCTCAGAAATTACATATAGTATTTTATATAAATACTCCCAAATTTGTTTATTTACATAGTTACTCCCACATTTGTCTATTATTTACGTCGTTACTCCGTGATTGCTTCATCATCAGTGTTTCTTGGGCGTGTCTTTTTAAACGGGGTTCTTCATCTTTTTTTATTGAATTCAAATTAAATTAATGTGAACAAACTTGATATTAAACATTAAAAAGATTTAGGAAGTTTGAAATTTGATTTTTTTTTTAAAAGTGATGGAAATAAGGGCAATGATTAGGCTTACTAAAACATGAGAAAGTTGATGGAGAGAATAAGTTGAGGTGAATTTGGTGTATTAGAGTGAAAAAAAGCATTTTAACTACTCACTTAGCGCAAAAAAAACGCATCCAAGTAACACTAATGATCACTACCAAATTTGGGAGCAATGATGTAAATAATAGACAAATGTGGGAGTAATGATGTAAATAAACAAAATTGGGAGTATTTATGTAAAATCTGTAACTTTTGGGAGTATTTTTGTCAATTTTGCCTTAAAAAAACAAATGGCGTATATATAAATAGAGTATAAAGCATAAAAGTCCTCTTAGAGAGAGAAATAAAATGTACTCCTTCCGTTCTTGATTATTTGTTCATTTTTGATTTTTTGGATTTAAATTATTAAATTTTAACGTTAAATTAAATTAAAATGATATTAGATATTGATACAAAATAAATTTATTAAATTTATTATATGAAATATTTTTAAAATATTATTTTATCTAATTGAATACAATATATATCTTGAGTCAAAATTGAGAATGGAAAAACATTTCAATGGTGGAGTCAGAATTTTCCTATGCAGTCGGAGGATCAACATTTCTCTCAGGAAGCCTTTTAACGAACTTCAAACCTGCGAAGCCATAAATCGCAGAAGATAAATAATTTATACATATTGGGAGAGCAAGCGGAAGAGATCTGAGGTGTAGCAAATGGCTTCGCATTCGCTAAAGAATCCTGCTGCGCTACTGCCGATGACCACCGCCGATTCTTCGCCGGCGGACCGATCGGCGGAGGAGAAACTCTTCAAAGGGTCCGCCATGACCAAGCGCGGAGCTTACGCCGCCGTCTCTTATATGTCCTCCGCCGGTGCATATTTTCTTCCATTGACTCTTTCAAATCTTAAACCTTTCTGCTTTTCATATGACTCCCTACTTGTTTTGATTTGAAGAAACAGTCGAATCTCGTGGTTTGAGCCTTTCGTTTGATTGAATTAGTCGTGAGATTCAATTCTGTTATCTTCCCGATTAAATTTCATCATTGTGAATCTCCATGGCAGACGTTCATTGGTTTGAATAAGATTAGTTGAATCCTTTTGAGTAGTCTTGATTCATAGGTGCAAATTTCCATACTTGGTTTTTTTTCTTTGTTGGTTTAATTACTTTCTTACTATACTGATGCTTTCTTTCAAGGCTATTTGTGGATATGAATTTATTGTTGGGCAACCTTATCTGAAGGCCAATATCATTAAAAGTATTTTCTTTGGATTTACAGTTCTGTTGGTGTTGTTCAATAAAGCAGCTCTTTCTTTGTACAATTTCCCATCTGCAAGTGTGATCACACTATGTCAGGTATTGGTTCAAATCTAAGCTCTGCATCAGCTTCTTGTTATTGAATTGGCTAAGTTCTAGTTTTATACGTTGGAGGCTTGCGCCGGAAAAAGCTGTCTTGACAGCTCTTTTGTATGCATTAAACACTTATTAATCGTTGCTCTAATAAATGGAATTTCTTTTAATGTTAATCCAAAGAACAAATGAAAAGGTCAGCTTCTTGGTCCACTGAATAGGATTGAAGTAGAGATCCTAGTAGGTTCCATAAACTGTATCAAGAACTTCTTTGTTTTATTGATAAATGATGATAATCAGTTTAGTTAAAATAAAATGGAAGGGATTCCAAAATTTGGTATCATGTGGTGCTGATATGCACTGTGTGACTACATTTTCCGTTTGAAATTTTATATGCCTTGTTTATTTGTAAATATGTGTTTGACGTCATATCCAAGATCTCAAATAGTCAAATATGAAATATATTTCAGTATGTTTTTTTATTTACAATCGTATTACTTTTTTCAAACTCAGAAGTCTAATGAGTTTGATTTAGGTTCTTGAGAAGCTTAACAATTGAGATTAGCTGGGGTGTTGGGATTTTGGTTGGGAGAAGCAGAGTTATTTGTTTGGGGAGATGTTAAGAATGCCCGGTTTGAGTTAGGGTGACAAAAATGGTTTATGTCACTGGTCCGGGATTGGAGCAGTATTTATTCTCAATGTTATATGGAACGGCTATATAGATATGTATTATTGGGGTTTATGTTTGACCCAACTGCAAATGCCCGAAATTCCAAAAGGGGAAACAAAACTGCATTTATTCTTGATTAATAATATCCTTCAATAATTCACCATTCTTGAACTGATTGATCCAAATTCCTAACCAATCCCAATGAAGGAAGGTTGTGCCATTGGTTTTTCTTGGTGGGAATGCAGTATGCCACGACCACCACCACCCTTTACATTCCTTAAATTCAGTCAAAGTCTCAAAGACAAGTTGCAGAAGTGGTTGTGATCACATAGGGAGTTTGGTACTATTATCCTTCTGTAACTATGGGTTTTAGGAGTTTGTTCTTGTTGTTATGAAAACTAAATTGATGGACTTTTTAATATGGACATTTCCTACCAATTCTCGTGCTATTTTGTGTGATTCTGATTTCTGCCTATAATTTTTTATTTTCTCTAATATTTTTGTCCCCATTTATCGGATATCTTATGCAGATGATATGTTCATGTTTCTTTCTCTACCTTTTACGGCGATGGAAAATGATATCTTTTCATTTAGGCGAATCCCCAACGACGTCTGATAATTCCAAAGCATTAGTACCTCTAAAGTCTGTGATTGATACTCTACCTCTGGCCGTGGCCTATCTCCTTTATATGGTACATTTTCATTTATTCATAATTTTTTTTGCTAAAACATTGCTTCTAAATTCCAATCTTAAATGAACACAAAACTTTTGTCTTATCTGGTTATCCTTGAAAGCTAGTCACCATGGAGTCTGTTAGGGGAGTAAATGTACCCATGTATACTACTCTCAGGAGGACAACCGTTGTTTTTACTATGATGGTGGAGTATATTCTTGCAAAGCAGAGGTATACGCGTGCTATTGTTGGAAGGTATGATGCTATGGTTATCTTTTACTCGGACTAGATATTATTTTGTTACCTATAATATGCAGCTTTGAGAATGGCTAATAACAATGTACTCCCTCAGTCCCACAAAACATATCCTCTCCCTTTTATCCATCCGAAAGCTCTTCCTCTTTGAATTAAACTCAACCATTTACCTCTATTAAATTAACTTACATGTTACATCATACGGTTCATACCTATTCATTATTATTTACGGAGTACTACGTATTAATGAGGAAATTCCATAAATGGGTCCTTATAACAGGTGGTTTTCTATATTTAGTCTCCAATTCTAAGATAGTACATTTGTGGTCCTCACTTTTTGAAAATAATTCCATAATTAGTCTTTTAGCCCAAATATGATCAAATATGTTTTCCACATATAGTACCAAAAGGACTGATTATGAAATAGATTTAAAAAATTGAGGTCGACGACTGTAATATCTTAGAATCGGGGACTAAATAGGGAAAACCACTTGTTATTAGGGACCATTTTTGGAATTTACTCTTTATTAATCTACCCATCACATTCTATTCTACCTTGCCATAAAGCAAGAGTAAAATGAGAAAGTAACACCCAAATTACACTTGCCTTAAATACCATGCAAGTCAAATGTGGAAATTACACTTACCTTAAATGGGAAAGCAATGTGTCGGTAAAACTTGTAAATTAAGAGTATGTGTGGATACAATCAAAATATGTGCTATCTTATGATAGAGGTAATGTCTTTTAGCATAACCTTCACATTCTAATATATCAATTTAACAAATGATTGTTTCAGCGTTGCATTGATTGTGTTTGGTGCATTTGTCGCGGGAGCTCGGGACTTATCATTTGATTTGTATGGTTATTTTGTTGTTTTCTTAGCCAATATTACAACTGCTATATACCTCGCAACCATAGCTCGAATAGGTAAAATAGAAAAAAAGCTTTCATTTGCTACCTTTCCTGGCAACTTTATTGTTTGTTATTGCTGATACTTTTTTATCAACCAGGAAAATCAAGCGGTCTTAATAGCTTTGGTCTTATGTGGTGCAATGGTATTGCCCTCTTGTCCTAGAATTCGACCTGCATTTTTGTTACACTCTTTAGCTCTTCACCAAACTTCATTTTGATAGATTGAACATATAGTTAATTATCATTAAATTGGGCTTAATTCATTTCGTAAAGATCTTCAACACGTGAGGTTTACTTCACTCTTAACTTATATACTACACTCAAATCTAGTACACAATCGATGCGAGATATACCCAACAGTCAACATAATCCCCTCAGCGCTTTCCAGGCTGACCGACTGAATGAGTGCACAAATGGGCCGAAACAGACTCTATGTGGGCGGCCCTGCAAGGTTACCAACCACCATTTTACCTGTTTTGACATATGTTAATTTGGGTCTAACTCACACCCATGGGATTCTCAAGAGGTGTTTATCAAAAAAATATCAAGAGGTGAGGTACTTCACATCTTTTAATAGAACTAGACCCAAGCCTAGTTGTCACATTCATGGTAGGGAATGCAGGTTACTCAACAATCATTGTTAGATGTGATTTCTTTTTCATTTTTCTACTGCAGGGATTGTTTGCGGGCCATTTTTACTTGTTTGGACACTTGTTAAAGGTGATCTGGGAGCAACATTTAATTTTCCATCTTTGCTTTCACCCGGTTTTCTGGTAAGTTTCAACGTCCTACTCAAGCAAACGACAAATGTAATATGAGTTGATACTTGCTGCAGTCATTTCAAGTGTACATTGAACTCGTGTAGCCTATCTGGGGAGTCAATATGTACACAGCCTTACCCTTGTAAAACAGATACTGTTTCCATAAGGTCCTAGATCATTGTTGCATTTACGGTCCAAAACTTCTTAGGAAGTTAGAAGCAAGGGTAGTTTAATGTGCCATTTTGATTTAGTCCGTTATGTGCCCAAAACTAAAACATTGTTAATAGTAACTCTTTTAGCTCCATTGGCAATGTGTGTGTATAATCTATGCATTCCAGATCAGACTGCATTAAGAAAGAGACTAGTTAGGCTCTCATATTGACCGTTGCTGCATTCTCTGAAAAGCTGTGATGAATGGAATCTAGAAATGAGGAACTGGGAAAGACATGTAGTTTTAAAAAGAAAGGAGGTGTGTTTGGAAGGTTATTACGAGTATATGATAAGTGCACTAGATAATCAGAAACAAAAGCACTTGTCTCATAATTTTAAAATACATCAATAATACATTACTACTATTTCATAAATGCATATACCACAAACTTTGGAGATCTTTGAAATATGAGATAGAATTATATTAATTGTAGAAACGGCACCAGAAGATTCCGAAAAGTTTCCAGGAGTTCCGGTTTCCTAAACAAGAAAACACTGTTCCAAGGAATTTCGGTGCATCATAGCCAGAAACTGGGATTGGGTCATAATATCTTTTTTTCACACCTAAAATACTGGTTTTATCAATCCCATGATTACAATCCATTGAGGGTCATGTTCTTTAACCCATAACTTTTCCCCCCCATTCTCTGTCATTCTTGTTTGTGCATAGAGAAGCATGTCGTGTCTTTTACCTAATGATAAGGTAGTCATTACTGTGCAGGTTGTATTGCTCTTCTCTTGCATTTTGGCTTTCTTCTTGAATTACAGTATATTTCTGAACACAACTCTGAACTCTGCAGTTACTCAGACAATCTGTGGGAACATGAAGGTTTGTTTACCGACATCTATATGCTATACATTGTAAAATCCATCCGATGACTCAAATCCGCCCAGTCCATCCTTAGCAACACAACTAATGACTTCTCAAATATTCTGCTTATGTGTAGGATCTTTTCACCATTTCACTTGGATGGATGGTCTTTGGGGGGCTTCCATTTGATTTGGTGAGAACAGTATCAGAATTACTATAAATATTATTACTATTATTATTTTGTTTGGGTGTATTACATTTGAAGCTATAGATGAAACTCATGAAAGATTGAAAAAGTTCATTCCACTTTTTTTTCCAGTTGAATGTTATTGGGCAGCTTCTTGGTTTCATTGGATCCGGCCTATACGCATACTATAAGCTTATGGGAAAATGATTTGCTCAATTCTCAAGGGCGGATTTCTCCGGGGAGGAGATAAATTTGCAGCATTTTTTTTTGAATTGCTGATTCTGGCTCTCTGCTGAAAGGGGGAGTGGAGTGAAATTTCATACAGGAAACCATTATTCTTTTTTGGATGGATGAGGAGCTGCTGGTTCTTGTGTGCAGTACTGTAATGTAATTTAAGGCTGTGTAGGCATTTGTATCTAACTGCAGCAATTGCTATATGAATCCATTACTTACTACCCTTCTTTACTCCTCATTTCTTTACACCCAAAAAATAGTGCAAGGGAGATTTTGTCTTACATAAAAAGAGTAATGATAAGGGCACAACCGTAATCAATCACTGTCTCACTCACATGAAGTGTGAGTCCTGTTATAGGATTTTGTGGGTTCACACCCCATGTGAATGAGGTTGTAATGGCTCGTGAGATAGGGTGTGTTTCCGCCTTTTCTCTTTTGATACAATAAATTATCTAACGACCCACTATTTTTGTTTCCCCTTCAAATGAACATGTGCAAGCACACATTCATAGAGTAACATACAAAATTGCGTCTATGAAGTGTGGTTATTTGTACATGTTAATAAAGAGAAAAAGAAAGTTAAGGTCAATCCATAAGATTTGTTTTCGAACAAAAGTAGATGTAAACTAAATGCAAACATACGTTGTGTTTGACACTAACCTTGGTGCTTTGAGTATTGTTATTTGTCCTCCAAATTGTAGTGTTTTAGAGTTAATCTCGAAGACATTCTTGCAGAGTCATAATTAACTCACCTTTCATCATCTACTTCAAATTTTGAATTTGTGAAAAAGTCTACCATACATTTTAGGCACTATTTGTACAAAATAAGTATGACACAAAAATAATTCAAGTAAAAAGGATGAGCTTCATTCTTGAAGTCTCCACCTGAATGGTCGGACGGTTATCTGAGAGAAGGTAAATTGAGCTATAATCACAAACTGACTGACAAAGGACTAAGCATGAGCATGGTACTCGTAGAAGCTTTATGCTCAACATAGTTATCTCTTAACGTAATTGTCAGGAATCGAATTCGAAATTACTTTTAGGCATCTTTGCTTAACCAGCTGAATTATGCTGACCGACAAAAATAATTTAATTAAATGTTTAACACAACCTTTTTCATATCTTTGAATATCTAGGGAAAAAATGTTGCCAAAATTTCCATCAAAGTTGAGTTCTTGCAATTTGTGAATAAAAACAACAATTACTTGCCCCCTCTTTTCCCACCAAAAATAACTGTCGTCTCGCCCTTCCCTCCAACCCAGAAACGAACCCCCCCCTAAAGAACAGAGAAATTGTGGAGAAGAAGAGGCGGAGAAGAAGGAAAAGGAATCGTTCCCTTCTCTTTCTCTCTCCCATCTCTCTCTCTCTCTCCTAAATCTCCCCCCAATTCATTCATTGCGCTAACCCTAACCCTGGAATTCGAAGCCATTTCCCTTCTCAATTTTTTCTTCCGTTCTGTTTTGCTCTCTCGAACTGCGGTTATTGTGCCCGGATAGCTATGCAGGCGTACGATGAAAGCGGCAATAGCACCCCCATGGTCACCTTCCAGCGGAACGGGTCGTTGTCGTGTCCGGTTCAGTTCCTGTGCCATGAAAACTCTAACAGTTTCTCGTACACCATGATTCCCCCGCGGCCTCTCAAGCTCACTGTTCTCAAATTGGACGGATCCTCTTTCGGTACTCGTCGAATGTGATTTGTGTTTTCTTCAATCAATCGATTTGTGGATGAATGTGGGATTGGCTTGTCTGTGGATATTGATGTTGCTTCTTATGTTTTTTTTTTGAATTTGTGATTCTGGTGATAGAGATTGAAGTTCCTAGGAATGGGACGGTGGCGGATCTGAAGAAGGCAGTGGAGGCCGCTTTTAGTCATTTACCTTGCAAGGTATCATGGTATGTATATATGGGTCTCAATTAAGCATTGTGTTACCAGCTCATTTGCCATGAATTTGATTGGTTATTGGCATTGCGTTACTAGCTCAATTAGGGATGATTGTCTATCCCTTTCGGTGAAATTACTTGAATTTCTTAGGTTAAGGTTGAATATTGCTAACATCGATTAGGGCATATTGTCTACCCCTATTGGTGAAATTTCTTGAATTTGATTAGGTGTATGACTGAATTTGCTTACATCGATTACGACACATTGTTTATCCATGTTGGTGAGATTGCTTGGATTTGATTTGGTTAATGACTGGACATTGCTTACATTGATCAGAGCACATCTATCCCATTTGGTGAAATTTCTTGAATCTGATTGGTCCTTGGCAGAATGATGTTAACATTGATTAGGGGACATTGTTTATCCATGTTGGTGAAATTTCCTGAATTTCATTGGTTATTGGAGTGGTAGTAAGTAGTAACATCTGTTAGGGGTTTATGGCTCTTTAATAAGAGAGTTATTTGATTCTTGACCCCTAAGTTCTTCCATACGTTCATTCCACTATATTTTTGTATTAGAAATCTAAGTTTAAACTTTAAAGCAATATGTAAAAAAAACTTTAAAGCAATGTGTTTTGATCTTGCAGGCGACATGTTTGGGGACATTTCTGCTTGAGCCATGATTACGAGAAGCTATTATGTGACACCGATCACATAGGACTTCATGGAATCAGGGACGGTGATCAGGTGTGTCATCAATCCATGGGTCCATATGTCATATTTTGAGTTTTTAGTTTAAAATGTTTATTTCCTGTCCTAGAAGACTAGAAGACAAATCTTATAGTACATAGTTTCTGTTGGTACAATTTTGACTATCTATTTTATGTTTCCATTCAGCTTGAATTTGTGCGACATGTCTCAGTTTCCTACTTGGGAAAGAAACAAGAAAGAGAGGACCTTGAAGCCTGTCTGTAAGTCCCCTTTACCTTGCATTGCACGGAGGATTACATAACTTGTGCACCGTTTGTTTACAGAGAGTGTTTGCCTGATTTATTTAAACATTCATGTGGTTACATAGGGAAACATTTTCTTTGGGGAAAAAAAGTCAATTGTGTGTTTGCACCAAGAAAGCATTATTATCAGACATGAAACAACATATTTTTCTCAGAAGATTCTATAAATCAAGTTTGTTATTTTCCTTGAAACAAATGGTACCTAGGCCTTTGAGCACGATGGGAATGAAGCAGGATTATATGTTATGCACTTCTAATGGATTTCAAAATGGTGCCTTGGCCTTTTAAACAGGCAAAATGCATAGAAGATGAAAACGATCATGTGGGGGACACTAGAATACCATAGAGTGGACATTTATGATAATGTTGAAGATGAAGAAGATGATTTGTTTAATTGATTCATCACTTTGCTCAGAAAGTGGTTCGTTTACCGCAGGTTGCTCGATAACTGCGAGAAGAGATTGCAAAGGAAAGGTAGTATCTCATGATTCTTCTTAGGCAACTCTAGAAATGCCCAATCTCTGGACCGAGACAGATACGGTTCACAAAAGATGGTTGCATGTGATTTTGAAACTCGAAGCTTGTAACGACGAAATCCTATGAAATATCAGGATGGAAACTACAGACACATTTAATTGAATAAAATGGATCTGTTGCTGCACATGATGCTGCTGCAGCATTTATGGTGATTTTTATAGCAAAGATAGATTTGTCGTTGAGGATGATGGTATATGAACCTTTCCCCATTTTGTGCACTCAAGAGGTTTCATGTGTTAAGAGAGTGAGCCCATGACCATTGCTAGGCAAAGCACCCCAAAAGTATTTTGCTTGATGTAATTATACCCATTCATACTTTAAATGAGCTCAACTCCTTTGTTTGCTCATCCCTCTGAAAACCCCTAGTAGAGAAACCACTTCTCTCTTAATCGATATTTTTTTTTTAATTTTAAAAGTGTCAAATCATTAAAAAAAATTTTAAAAAATAGGATTACAGGGTATTCCGTATCATTTATTTTGTCCCACATTAATATTAATATTGAAACTTGTACTACATTTAAATATTGAAAGTCATCATCTAATTGTTTCATTTGCTACTCCATATTAGTTAAGGATAATAGTTTCAACTTGCACCCACAATTTCTACATGGCAATGGTAGGGATTTGAGTAATTCTAAAGTAGATTTTACAAATATTATGTGACTTATTGCGTTCCATCATCTCCGATGGAGCCAAGAATTTACTATTTTTTTGCTTTGGGGTATGATGGAATAAAATAAAATGGATATCTAAATTATCTACAGTTTTCTAGTAGTCAATCGATGCAACTTTTGAGGTTGAGTTGAGGATCTCTTTGAAAACAGTCTATCTACTTTTGAGTAACGTTAAGGTTTACATACACACATCATCCTCATACTCTATTTTTGTGAGATTCAACTGACTTGTTATTGTTATTGCTTGTTATGTGACTTGTTAAAAAGTTAACAAATTACCCCTCCGTTCTAATTTATAGTGCCTATTTACTATTCATATGGTCAAACTTTATTCACTTTTTTTCTCTATTTTCGTTAGTTATTTGATAAAAAAAAGTACTATTGTCACTATTAATTTTGTAGATCTTTTGATCTAGCATTTAAACATGTACTCCCTCATAGTACTTTTTATTTTTTAACTGTATACCGTTTGTGATATAAAATAATTTGAAAATAATTTTAGTCAAACATCGTAAACCGAAACAGATATTATAAATTGGGACGGAGAGAGTAACATTTTTGGAGACCAAAAGCCTTTTATCCCCCCCTCCCCCTCTATCACTCCCTCATTATTTTGTGTGGAATAGAAAGGGATAAGCCTTTCTTCTTCTCCAATCAAATTTATCCATTTTCACTTCTGCAACAAACTCAAAAAGTTGAAGAAGGGAGAAGAAGAAGAAGAAGAGCAGCCATGGCTATGGCCAACATGATCATGGCTTCCTCCAAAGCCCTCATGCCTCCTCCCACTCTCCTCCCCACCCCAAGATTCAAAGTTTCTTCTCTGTTTCCCAAATTGCCCTTCCCCCAATTCCCAAGGCCCATCCAAACTCTGAAATCCCTACCCCTGATCCTCGCATCCGCTCTCGCCGCCGCGCCGCCCCCGTCTATGGCGGAGGAGATGCAGAAGGCGTCGCTCTTCGACTTCAACCTCACGCTCCCGATCATGATGGTCCAGTTCTTGCTCCTCATGGTCGCCCTCGACAAGATCTACTACTCCCCGCTCGGGAAATTCATGGACGAGAGGGACGCCGCGATCAAGGACAAGCTGAACAGAGCGAAGGAGATGTCGGAGGAGGCGCGGCGGCTGGACGAGCAGGCGGCGGCGGTGATGAGCGCGGCGCGCGAGGAGATCGCGGCGGCGCTGCGCCAGAAGAGGACGGAGACGCAGGCGGAGATGGAGAAGAGGCTGGAGGAGGGGCGGGCGAAGGTGGAGGCTGAGCTGGCGGCGGCGCTGGAGCAGCTTGAGGTACAGAAGATGGAGACGATGAAGCAGCTCGAATCTCAGATTTCTTCGCTTAGCGATGAGATTGTCAAGAAGGTCCTCCCAGCTTAATTATTTATTTAAAGAGTAATTAATTAATTAATTAATTAGTGTTACTCTTTGTGTGTAAGAATTTCTCTATCACACACATTCGGATGTATGAAGTTTATTGTTTTTTTAGCATATGAACATTTACAAACTAAAGAATATTTATTTGCACATTCATTTCTTCGCGTATAATTCGAACACGCATATTATGAAATTAATATAATCACAATTTTGGAAATCTCTCGTAGCCCGAACCAAAGGGATTTCGAGCTGTCTTGATTCTAAATCCCTACTGTAGTGGGATTCAACTGGGTTGTTGTTGTTGTTGTGATTCTAAATGATTCTTTGGTTGGACGAGAAGTTGTTCAACCTTGGTGATTTCTTTTTTTTTTTTGCACAATGTAAATTTTGTTGTTAAAAGAGAGTATAAATACATATTTTGTAAAGTTTGTTGATAAAAGAGAGTATTAATGCATAATTTTATAAAAGAAATTAAAGCATGTGGTTATTACAACCAAGACATTTGATGATAGGATTAGAAGTGTTAAAAACTTTTCTAGACAACTTTTGAACCCCAAAGATTGGCTAGTTTACACACACACAAAAAAAAAAGACTTGTCCAACCAATTAATTCAAATATATACCCCAAACATTTGGGGTGCAAATCCCCCATAATTAACCTGTCCCATTCCCCATTGTCTATCACCTACCACAATCACTTCTTATTCTCAACTAAAAAAACTTATCTCCCCCATCCTCCTCAAATAAATTTCACACTTTAGTTTTTCATTTGTCACCGAATAAATTTCTCACTTCTTTCGACTTTTTAAGAAGACATATGCATCTTATACGAGTATATTTTGGGACAAACAAGTTTATTTTGTAAAAAATAAATAAAAAAAAGAAATGCAAATTTTATTAGATGAGTATTTTTCTAGTTCAAAATAGAAAGATGATTGTGCTAGGTTTAACAACAATGAAGGGTGACAAAGAGGGTTCTACACCCAAGCATTTGACACAGCCAGTTAACACAAACATAAAAAAATATAAGGATAAAAAACATGCAATGACATTCTCAAATCCTGTGGCAATTTTGTTCATTATTTGTTGGTTTTAGTAAGTATTCATGCAAGTTTCACTTGTCTATAAATTGGTAAAGACCAACCAAATGACCAAAATCACAAACCAATGTCTGAATCTGTCCCTGCAAAGTTTGGTGTTTGTGATATGGGAATGAAATCATTATACATATGAAAAGAAGAATCAATTTACCTCTGTTGGATCTGTACATGTAAATGATGCTAACAACAAAGCCGTCGAGACGAATCTCAAGGGCAACATAATAATAACCACCAAAACATCCTCTACTTATATGAGAAAATTGTACAACATCTGCAGAGCCTCTTAGTCATCTATTTCATCCTTTTTTACAACATTTTCACCACGGGGATCCTCAGTTTCATTTTCACTACGAGAAGAAGACACTTTTGTTTCTACAGCACGCCTTACCACAGAATTTACCTGCTTTCTCAATTTACCATTATTCACAAAAACGTTTCTTAGCATCTCCCTCATCTTCTCTAGTATCTCCATCGTGTCATTATCCACACTATTTTTAGTATCGTCAGAAGAAGCTGAGTTGGTTTCTTTGTCTAAGCTTTGCGCCTGGAAAAAGAAGTAGGATTACAAAAATCTCTTAGGGCCTTGGTGAGCAAAGCAGAATTGATACGATATGAGTTCTAAAATCCAGAAGAAATGATATGCATTCTGAAATATGAAATGAAAGTGTTTGGAGAGATAACACCTATCGAAAAATGGCCCCACATAATCCTTGGAGTCAAGGTAACGTCTGCATACACCTTGCTCCCACATGAGAGGTGGGATCCACAGGGATTCTATGGTGTTTGGATTGATTTGGTTTGGTATCTTTGGGCTCATTACTGGGTTTAATGTTGTTGTAGTTAGGTAAATAAAGTCCAACAAGCAATAAAAAAATGAAAAAGAAACTCGAGAAGTACCTCAGATAGCAGTAGGTTGATTTGATTGTCGGAAGCGGAGAGCAGATCCTTGGCATCTGGCAGTGAGTGGAATTTTTTGACAAGGTCATCTACATTTTCAACTGAGTCTATTTTGCACCCTTCATAGTGCTGTTGAAGAATTTCACAGTCACACAGAAGTTTCTTCCAACTGGTTTTGCATTGCTCCCTAATTTGCCTTTCCTGTGTATACTGCCTCTGAAAATCCATGCAAAATTTGAAGAACACAAAATATATAACTATTCACTTGGGACCTTAAAAAATGACTCCGTTCATATTTATCTCTCTTGGTTGACCGATGTCCATTGTTCCTTTTTATCTGTGCATTTATGAAATTTATACACATCAAATAGTGTTTTATACACATAGTGGCCTTTAATGAGGTCATTTGAGGTAAATTATTGAAATTGTGATTAGTATATAAAATTCCAGGAATTTTTCTCAAATGTGTGATTTGAACGGAGAGATTATGATGTTCCAATTTTACCCTGGTAAATGGAGACTTACAACAAAAAAAGCTTAAGACCCTGTGAAAAGTGACAACTAGTATTGATGTGACTAAGGCAAATTTTAGAAACAACTAACTAGTTGCTAAGGAAAGAACATGCACTATTAATTCTAAACAAAAAGACCACCAAATTGTTTCCAGCAAAGGGCATCTCCACTGCATGAATGCAAGACTAACTGCAGGAAAATAGGCTGTGTAAATTGGAAAATGTTTTCTTGGAAAATAAGGCGCGCTATGCATAATATAATGTTTAACCCACAAAAATATAAAAAATAAAACTGCGCTAGGAAAACGATTTTCGTGCTTTTGGGTTCCAAACATATATAATTCAAAAGGAAAGCCTTTTCCAGGAAACAAACAGAGCCTAGGATGTACCTCAATTTCAGCTTTCTCCTTGGATGACTCTTTAAGCTGCTCCTTCAATTCTGACTGAGAGCTTCGAAGAGTTTTAACTTCTTTAATGAGAACTTTAATGTCTGATTTTGACTTTACTTCCATCTCTTGATGCCGTTTCAATAGCTCCTCAAACTGCAGTTTTGTGGCTCTCAACTCCTGTTGGAGTGCATCTTTTTCCTGATTGGGATTGATTTTTGTGGAATCTTTATTTGTTTCATCCTGATGAATTTTGATAATTAGAATCTGTAATGAATAATTCAAGAAAGAAGGAAAAACATGATGGATCACAACCTGTTGCAAATTTAGTTTAAGCTCCATCTCCATTGCCTTCCGCCGAAGATCTTCCATGTCCCACTGCATCTGAGTAACTCTTTCCCTCTCAATCGATATTGCCTGCTCAAGGTTCTCTTTGTTTTTTTCTTTAGTTTCTTCAAGCTCCACTTCCAGATCTTTGACCTGTATACATTTAATGGGAATGCTTTCAAAAAATTAAATTTTTGTTTTTTGCTTTTGTGTGATAAGTAATTATTTAAGCGTGCAGTGTTTGTAGTTAAGTATGATTTAGTGCTTAAATGCTTTTGAGTGTTTGCAAACCAAAACATCTGAAGTGATTATTGTGTCATTGTGTGAGTAAAAGACACCATTGTCCTTAAATAGGAGAAGAGAAAAATGTTAATTGGGACAACATGTAAAGTTGTTTAAAATAAGCAAATACTTTTGACGTACAGCTCAAATAAGTAATTATTCCAAATATTGAAAAAAAAACCATTTTCCTTGATGTTTTTCCCTTTCACTGCCATTTTCCACATTAAAGACAATCTGACTACAACAAAGTGTTTCACTCTATTTGTGTCACCGAACGTTAAGTTAATGAGCAGAAAACATGTTGATTAATAGGAAGCATTCAGCTTATGTCAAATTCACCACCACACCTTGGTTGTGAGGTAATCTTTCACAGCAATCTCCTGGTTTAACCTTGAAATAAGATCCTCCATGTCAGTTTTTGCCGTACCCAATCTACGCTGCATATTGGCAAGAATCCTATGCATTTTATGACGCTGATCTGACGGAAGGAGCAACTGTATTTGGTCAGGAAGTGTCAATTCTTTCCTGAGAGCTTCTATGTTTCCAAATGAATTGGGAAATGTCGAGTTAGACGTTTCGCCCTCTCGCTGAGAATTGATATCACTTCCAACACTCTCACCAGACAACTTTGTGGCATGATGAATTGTTTGACTATCACTTGAATTATATGAAGACTTTGACACATTTCCACTGCTCATACTCTCATCTATAACATTATTATTAATCTCTTTTGTGTGGATCTTATTCTTAGGAAAATTTCCAAGTTGGTCTAAAATAGCATGTCCCATGAATAATCCCTCATCAATGTTGGACATCCCATACTTCATAAACATATCGATTGGACTCGTTGAATCCTCATCTAGTGAGAGATCTTCAGTCCCCAGCTCAGATGCCTCATACGCAGTGTCACTACCATAATCAGATGCATGCGATGAACTGCCAGTTATTGTAGAGAAGCCTACACCAGGATTAGTTTCAAGAAAGGTCTGTGTGTTATTTACAGGTCTTGATTCAGACGTGTGCTGTAGCTGTTCATCTTTAAATGCTGAAACAATTGTGACAATAATTTCAGTAGGGAAGCAGGGGGGCAAATTATGCAAATTAACACTAAAACAGAGTTGAAACGAAAATCTGACACTGAAAAGTATACAATATTCAAATGACAGTATAATGCATACAAGATCTAGCAGCTGCTTCAAGTTCAAGAAAGGATGCTGAGGCCACACATCTTGAAATATCAATATCAGATAGTAGTTTTGTCATCCATTCCTCCAAAGACGACCGTCTCTGCACAATGAAGCCATTCTAAATGATTTAAAGAATTTTCAAGGAATTATTGTTTACGTAACGCCAGCAATATCATAAAATTGAACAGAATGTGGCAGTAATTAAAATATTTGTAAAATAAAGACAATATTATACTGAGCTACATGGAAATACTATAGTATTTCTAAATACCCAACAACTCTATGTATATGGACAGAATTGACATGTTCAGCCGCACAAAAGAGGGATGTACACAAAGTTGAATAATTTGTTATATAAATAGTACACTTACAGGAGTAGCTAAAAATGAACAATTGATGAAAGGAGAAAGCTACATAAATGTAATCTTGGTTTAAGTTGAGTAGTCAGATATTGAAAAAGTTGATCATTTAGAGAAAAATGAAAATGCTTTACTTGTATGATAATTGTTTGCAACCCCCT